TTGGGACGTATACTGGAACTTTAAATGCCCGAACAAGACACTTTTAGAAAATTGAAATGGGTATTTTCTAAACCCCTATGCAGGCTTAGTGGAATTTGTAAAACTCACTTCGCAATGATGAAGCTTTGAAAAATTGAAGAGAAAGCTAAACCCGGTGAAAGGGCACGTTACCGGGGTGCTCAGCGGGGCAAGGGAAAAGGAAAACCCAATTTGAAGAGCCAGCAACGAAATTGGTTCACCAAGGCGAAATGTAAGACAGCTCAACTTCGTCTTCTGGATTCACTGATTTCAGAATTGGGGAAAAAAAAGAAATCACCAGAATCTCAAAGACAATTTGGATTTCTTTTCAAAATTACACTATACCAGAGCAGAATTTAGAGAAGCGCATTAAAGTTGCAACAGCACCTTTAGCAATGTTCAGGACACATTTTTTGAAGAAATATTTTTTCTGGGTTTGAATCAGATTAAAACTCCACCCAAAAAGTGGCCCTCACGCTTTGAAACATTTAAGGGAAAAAGGGATCCAAAATCTTCACTATGTTGACATAGTGTATCGCCTTTACCTAACACTTTCCCCTATAACTTGAAGGAGAACGTCTTTTTCGTTTTTAAAAGAGTGAAAAACCCGCTCCTTCAACAAAGAGCCAAGACAAATTGTTAACCAGCCTTTTTTGACCATTTATCTGATCTAACAAAAAAATTATTTTTAGAATATAATTGAGATTTTGCAAATAAAATCCAGAAAAAGTTTATTAAGAAGTGCCCCGGAATATAAATAATTCTTTACTTTCTGAATTTTTAAAATTTTTAGTTTATGATGAGCAATGAAAAATAATTGGGCATGATTTTTTAAAAGGGGAAAAAAGTGCAGAGGGTTAGCTGAAATAATAGGTGCATGATGCACTACTTTAATAGCCTAATCTAGTAATATATCGTCTTGAGTTTATTTCCCTTTAAATGCATGATTTAAAAAGATAGTTATAATGGCTGTTGAAATGGTTTTGGTTGTCTTATGTACTTTTCCCCATTTAAATTAAAATTAAAAACCAGAAAGTATTTAATTAGACCTTAAACAGTCTCACAACCCACCCCCCCCCCCAAGCGGGGAAGGGTCGCTTCGCTTACCAACTCAAAGGGGGCCCCCCCAATCTGAATAGCCCCGGGCCCCCCAAAACTTTCTTAAACCGGCCCTGCAATTGACCCTTCGGACCTCTGAGCTTAAAGTGATAGTATTTTTCTGCCCGCTTGTGGGGGAAAGCTTGCTTTGAACTGTTGTGAGCTCCCGTCCTCTGTTTATATCACAGGGGATCACTTGGGTTTATAAAGTGGGCCTTTCACCCCCCGGGAATTTTTTGAAATTGTTGGGGCTTTGGGGCATCCCACAAATACTGCAGGGCTTGGGGAATGCCGGCAGTGCTGCAGTCATTGTGATACATCTTCAGTCTTCCCCCCACTTTCCTTTAAATTTCAACGAACCCAGCCCTTCTTTTTCCTGCTGATGTCGGTTCATCTTTTTTAAAAGAAACAGTTGTCATAAGGAGAGCGAAGTCTTATGTATGGCGTCTCTTGGCTCTGCTTAAGGAATCTTCCAGGTTCCTTTTTCTCGAAATAGGGGAAACCCCCCAACCCCAGCGTCCCCCCGCCCACCATCTCTGGTGCAGTGTCTTCTGGGTTGCCCCCGTCTCTAATTTTTTGTGGGTTTTTCCCCCTGAAACCCCAACCTCCTTTCCCTCCTACCCATACTTTTTCATCTCACCCACTAGTTTTTCGTCTGTAGGGCCTCACATGCCGCACCCTTTTCTTTCCCCTTTCCCCTTTAAATTAACCTGTCCCAAAGCCCCCCAAATCACTTCCATTCCTATGGTGCTTTCAATTCCCCCAACGTTCTCCTTTTTTGGCTTCAGTGCCTGGTTCTCCCCCCCCCTTTCTCAATGAAATTTTGGTTCTACCCCCTTCAGTGGGCCCCTTTTTTTGTCCCCCCCCCAGGCTTCTTTTTTTTTTTTTTTTTACAAAAGGGTTTTAAAAGGGTTTTAAGGGGACCCCTAGCTTTTTTGAAAAACTATTTACGGGTTTAAAGGATTCCTAATTTTAAATTGACAAGCTAAGAGCGTTACCTACATCAGCTCATTTAAAGATTTTTATTGTTTTGGGGAACTACAAGTGGGGGAAACAGGTAAAATTGGGAAACCCCATTTTTGGGGCCACCCTTTTCATTTGATCAACGGGACTTTTTTCTCATTGACATCATTATGCTGTAAAATGTGTTCCTATTGAGTCATCCTGGGTATATATGTTTTCAGAGGGATTTGATGTTCTGGAGGGGGGGCAACCAGAGTAAAATTTTGCTGCTTTTTGCCGGGTTTTGTGGAAAAAAAGCTTTTTTCAGGGCTTTTCCTTTCGAATTTGGCCCAAAGTTTTGGTACTTTGAAAATTTGGGGGCCCTTTGGGACAACCGTAAGGCCCCCCACATCCCTCCTATGTTGAAGGCTCTGCGGGGGAAATTTAAAGGGATTACCCAAAGGGGATGGGCCCAGGGGAAGAGAGACGTCTTGCTCTGTTCTCTACTCTGTCAAGCAGTCGCAGATGAGAGGGGGGGGGGGGGCAAAACCCAAGAAAGTGGAGATCTAAAGGGTTTGCGGGGCATACTTGTGCCTCGTACAGAATCTTGAAAACCCCTATGTCAAGAAGATGCGAGATATGGCGAAGTGCTGTAAAACTTTTCCTGGGGTGCCCTTTTTGCAAGATTTTTAACATGGTTTTTTATGGTTAGTTTGGAGTCAAAATTTCACCCCAAGGATATCAAAAATTCTTCTCCAGGTGCCCCAAAACCCCCCATTTCCTTACTACTGCCCCAGCATTACCATCCCTTGTGCCTAGAGACGATCTCATTTGTGTTTTTTTCAGGTGAGATGTTACTTGCCATCATTTCCACAAGCTGAATTTGTCTCAGCTGGGGATTTTATGTAGCTTAGAGCAGCTGGCAATTTTTTTTCTTGGATAAAAACGAATGTCAGTGTGCAGTCGTCTGGGGTTTTGGGGATGTGATTTGGGATGAGAGAAGGCCCTTGAAATAGACATTTCCCTAACAAAGGTTTCCCCGCAGCTTCCTTGTGGGAAAACTTGCCCCCCAAAAGGATGTTGTGGGTTTTCCCTTCCCTTGGAACTACCTTTTTGGGGATCTCGATTTAAAGGGAATCCTGAGGAGACATAGCGTTGAGCCCCGCAATTCCCAGTGCTTGAAGTTTTTCTAAGAGGCCCCGGTGGGCCACACCGGTCGAAAGTCCCCAGCAATGTCCAGTGCTACCACACAGCTGACTTTAGATTCATTCAGTGATTGGTGCCACTTAGTGGAGAGGTTTAACATCAGATCAGCAGCAGAGTAACCTTTCCTGAAGCCATATTAACGATCACAAAGTAGCGAGTGATAGTCAAAAAACTCTGTCATTTGTCTTGAGATTATTGTCTCAAGGATCTTACCAGTGATTGACAGGAGTGACACTGGTCTGTAGTTGCTGATTTCTGCTCTGCTCTTCTTTTTGTGAACAGGGACTACATTTGCCTCTTTCCATAGAGAGGGCCATTTACACTGTACTAGGCAGTGCTGAAAGATGTGAGTTAGAGGTGCTGCTAGCTGGTCTGCACATCTTCTCAGCAATCTTGGGCTCAACTTGTCTGGGCCCACAGCCTTTTCTTGGTCAAGCGATTTAAGAAGGAAATGCACCTCTTCCTTCCAGTCTCATTCTCCTGTTCCCCCCAATGGTCTTTTCTGCCCCTGCCAAGGCATCTCTTTCAGTTCATACTCCCCTTCCCTCTCAGACCTCTTTGATTCTCTCCATAGTTTCTCCAATCTCTATTTGCTCTCCTTCACCTGTCTCTGAAGTCATGGTATCAGCATCTTCCTTGTCCACCGAAACACCTACACTATTTCTGACTATTTTGTGGAGATGAAACCCTCAATGGGCACCAGTGCACCCCCTTGTGCCCCATCTTATTTTTCATAACCTTCACAGCAATCTTTTCCCTCATAGCATTCTGTTTCCTCCCTACTTACCGGCTTTCTGTTGCCTCCACACATTGACTTCACTGAACCTACTTGCCTGTAGATTTCATCATTTCTCATTGTTGGAATACCTATCTTTGTGAATGGTGACTTATTTACAATGGAATATTTGTGGCTTCAGGGGTATTCGGGGAGAGCTCCAGGTGTTGCTCTGCCAGTTTTCCCCAGTATGTGTTGGGTTACAAGAGCCTAAAGTTCATTCAGCTGTTATCCATTCTGTTTCAGGCTGTTTGCTGTCTAATTCTTCTAATCCCCTTCCTGATGAAACTTTTAATGAGATTGCTCTTCTTGTATGCATTGGTATATGTTCCAGTAGTCTTTTTTTGATCTCTGCTGCTTTTAAACGAGCCCATATTTTTTCCCACGGGTGGGTATGCAGTTTGTCTCTATATCTCTCCCCTTCCTATGTATTCTGTATCTCAGATGTTGTGTTCCTGATCTCTCTGTGACATCCCCTTTATTTTGTTAGATGATTTTAATGCTCATCATTGTCTTTGGGGAGGGTCCTGCTGTGACTCTCATGGGGATCAGATAGAGACCCTTCTCACTTCTCATCCTCTTCATGTTTATAATAAATGATGATATTAATTATAATGATTGTAATAAAAGATCATAAATTTTAAATTTTATTTGCAGGTCGCCTTGATACCAGAGGCTGACACTTGTAGTGTCAATACTGCAGGTCATCCTGGTTCAAGAAGGTGGTACTTGTAGTGTCAATACTGCAGGTCATCCTGGTACAAGAAGTTGGCACTTGTAGTGTCAATACTGCAGGTCATCCTGGTACAAGAAGGTGGCACTTGTAGTGTCAATACTGCAGGTCATCCTGGTACAAGAAGTTGGCACTTGTAGTGTCAATACTGCAGGTCATCCTGGTACAAGAAGGTGGCACTTGTGTGTCAATACTGCAGGTCACCTGGTACAAGAAGGGGCACTTGTAGTGTCAATACTGCAGGTCATCCTGGTACAAGAAGTTGGCACTTGTAGTGTCAATACTGCAGGTCATCCTGGTACAAGAAGGTGGCACTTGTAGTGTCAGTACCGCAGTCCATCCTGGTACAAGAAGGTGGCACTTGTAGTGTCAATACTGCAGGTCATCCTGGTACAAGAAGTTGGCACTTGTAGTGTCAGTACCACAGGTCATCCTGGTACAAGAAGGTGGCACTTATAGTGTCAATGCTGCAGGTCATCCTGGTACAAGAAGGTGGCACTTGTAGTGTCAATACTGCAGGTCATCCTGGTACAAGAAGGTGGCACTTGTAGTGTCAGTACTGCAGGTCATCCTGGTACAAGAAGTTGGCACTTGTAGTGTCAGTACTGCAGGTCATCCTGGTACAAGAAGTTGGCACTTGTAGTGTCAATACTGCAGGTCATCCTGGTACAAGAAAGTGGTACTAGTAGTACCAACATAATTGTCAGACAACTCCTGTAAGTTCTGTAAATACTATAATGTATATATATATACATGTATAGTGACATCACTAACTACAGTGTTAATACAGTGACAGCATTAATATGGTGCTTATACAGTGACAACACTGTAACAACAGAGTTGGTACTACAACACTTAGAGTGGCAACAAGAGTGTCATAAGGTTGATGTGTCATAAATATCTACTAGTGTCATCCTATTCCTCACACACTTACCCCTACATATTTTGTGCTTCCTATACTTACAGTAATAGAATAATACAGGAATATTGGTTTTCTCTGTAATAAAATATTCTCAAATATCCCCTAATTAAACAATTTAAATATGTCAGAACTTACTTTTCACTGTCTAAAATACCTGAAAAACAGTGTGTTGAGGCACAATGTACAGTTACTCATAGAGGAGACCAATTATATCAACATTCACATGAAAAACAATGTGTTGAGGCAATACAATGTACAGTTGTTTGTGTAGGAGACCAATTATATCAACATTCACATTCACTCAATCTTCACAACAATCTCAGTGTGGATATCAGACCAGGTTTATCATGGGCAAAAAAACAATTCAGTGTTCAGTATGTCTAAAAGAATTTTCTCAAAGAAATAATTTAGTCATTCACATGAGAACTCATACTGGAGAGAAGCCATATCAGTGTTCAGAATGTCTGAAAGACTTTAATCAAAAATCAAGCTTAGTAAGTCACATGAGAATTCATACTGGAGAGAAGCCATATCAGTGTTCAGAATGTCTGAAACATTTTTCTCAAAATTCAGGATTGGTAATTCACATGAGAACTCATACTGGAGAGAAGCCATATCAGTGTTCAGACTGTCTGAAAGACTTTTCTAGAAAATCACAATTAGTAAGTCACATGAGAGCTCATACTGAAGAAAAGCCATATCAGTGTTCAGAATGTCTGAAACACTTTTTTCAAAATTCAGGATTGGTAATTCACATGAGAACTCATACTGGAGAGAAGCCATATCAGTGTTCAGAATGTCTAAAAGACTTTTCTGAAAAATCAATCTTAGTAAGTCACATGAGAACTCATACTGGAGAGAAGCCATATCATTGTTCAGAATGTTTGAAAGACTTTTCTGAAAAATCAAGCTTAGTAAGTCACATGAGAACTCATACTGGAGAAAAGCCATATCAGTGTTCAGAGTGTCTGAAAGGCTTTTCTAGGAAACAAGATTTAGAAAGACACATGAGAACTCATACTGGAGAGAAGCCATATCAATGTTCAGAATGTCTGAAAGACTTTCCTAGAAAATCACATTTAGTAACTCACATGAGAACTCATAGTGAAGAGAAACCATATCATTGTTCAGAATGTCTGAAACAGTTTTCTCAAAAATCAAGCTTAGTAAGTCACATGAGAAATCATATGGGAGAGAAGCCATATCATGTTCAAAATGTCTGAAAGACTTTTTTAGTAAACATGATTTAGAAAGACACACGAGAACTCATACTGGAGAGAAGACATGATGTTAAGAATGTCTATAAGAATTTCCTCAACACTCAGGATTGGTAATTAACATGAAAACTCATACTGGAGAGAAGCCATATCAGTGTTCAGAATGTCTGAAAGACTTTTCTAGAAATTCACTTTTAGTAAGACACATGAATGCTCATACTGGAGGGAGGCCGTATCAGTGTTCAGAATGCGCGAAAGACTTTCCTAAAAGATTTCTTTTAGAAAGCACATGAGAAGTCATACTAGAGAGAAAGCTTTGCTGGAGGGGGTGTCATGTGTCATGCGCTAATATTGTTCCTCTACTAACACTGATATTAACTTTAAACCCGTCAGTCCCATAATATTACGGCTCACAAGCCAGTGTCAGTCCCATAATTCTACACTAAAATTAAGGGTTTCCAATATTGTGGGAGAAAGCTGGTAGGCTACATATGAGAGAAACGGGTCTGAGTGGTCAGTGTGTGCAGTATAAAAAAAAATCCTGCAGCATGCAGCACATAATGAGAAAAAAAAACTGACTGTTTTTTTTGGTTTAAAACAGTGACTTTGCGGTGTATTTTCGTATTTGTTGTATTCTTGTTTTTTTGGGTCTCATTTGATAGAGTGGAATATATACTACTGAAATTGAGATAATTTGACCAAAAGTACCTTGAAATTCAGCCAAAATAGAGAAATGTTCGATGTTCAAGAGAAAACACATCACGTCAGGCATCCAGTGCATGTCAACTGGTGAATCTGATGGCTTTCTCAAATTCCACTGATATTATTTATGCCTTTTTTCCCCAATAATGCAGTAGTTGCTTAACAGTAAATCTTCTATTTTTTGTATGAATAAAAATTCAAATTGACAGTAAGTGCAATATAAGAGGGATTGGAGACATGACTAATGAACAAAGAAAATGTTATTTTATGCTAGAATTGTATTAATTCTGAACCCTATTTTGAAATTGGCCTTCCTTGAATTTTGTATGAAATTGGCAAAATTTTACCAATTTCTGACCACTTTATTGGATAGTTGAAACTGGTAAATGGGCAGTTTTTGTACTCATCGATAGCAAAAAGGAGTTTTAGTAAAATAACTATGGGTTTGGTCGATCGAACAATGGAATTGGCCAAAAAAATGGGCTCGAAGTGGGAAAAAATCACTGATGCGTAAATATAAACCGAGATCGCTTCCTTTTCGAGAATGTAATTCTGTAAGTTTTTTGTCAAATTCGCACTTTTGGTTTCATTACCATTGGGAAAAGATTCTCTATCATTTCTATAAAAATTTTTTTTTTTTTTTAATTCTTCGACACTTAGGCAAATGAAAGGGTTAAAGCAGGGAAGTTTTTTGGGTCTGCTTGAAAGACAGAAGGTAGTTGGAGCATATTACATAGTAAATGACAGAAACACTAACAAAAAACATCGTTTTTTGGAAAAAATTTTTGGCCTGGTATCAAGCAAGGCACTCCTATGCCATGTTGGATAAAGTGTTTAATGTCACCAGTGCTGGACAAGCTCAAAAAGCTCTCCCTTCTTACCAATATTGACAATACTCCTGTCACAATCCATAAATTATATTTCAATTCTTTCAATGCCATCGTTTAACATGGTATTGCACTGCCTGAATGGGACCCATTGTTTATATTGTATATATTTACTTTTTCATATAATTTTATATTGGCGATATTTCATTAATAGCTAAAAAGAAATTCTCTTGCTTTATATTATGTATTTGACTTAATTATATTAGCTATGTATGTAGGTAAGATATAAATTTTTACATTTCTCACTGTGCTGGCTGTTGAAAAATTGTGATTACCGTCTGCCATCACAAACTACTTTGCTAACTATCACACACTTGTTTGTGTCAAGATTGTGTTAGGGTTGTTATTTTGTCTTCTTGTTCCTGACACTGTGCTGCTGCTTGTTATATTATTGCTGGGTTTGGGGAATGATTCATCATATTGTTTTTAAACAGGCTGTTTTGATTGCCTTGTTGGTCTAGAAGATAGATTATTTGAAGATGTATAGTCAGTCATTAAGTCGAGATGAGTCTTACTGAACATAACCAGCACTTTGAACACACACGTACACATTCATGCACACACGTGTATATGCTAGTACACCTACCATCCAACTTATGACCTGCTCGGGCATCCGTCCACTCGACTTTACGACCGTGCTCTGGCAGCTGGGCTGGGCCGGCTGATGCACACCACTGTACAATATTTGACAATACTCGCGGCGGCAAAAAGCGTCATTGCAGGGAGCATCAGTTGAGTAACCCTGCCCTATCTGCAGCATCATACTGTATTAACTGTACTAAAATGTACAAGTAAATTTCACCATGGCCCCCAAAAATGAAGTCTGAATCTTGCACTGGAGATTGTGGCAAGAAAAGGGTCTTACTTTTCGAACTCTCTACTTGTTTTCGTGTTTCACATAAACCTGTCTGTATTTGTCTGCCTGTATATATGTGTGTCTGTATCTGTTGTGTGTGTGGTGTGTCTAAACCCGTGTGTCTTTCTGTCTACCTGGGTGTCTATGTTTACCTGTGTATGTCTTTATGTCTACCTGTGTGTCTGTCTTTCTGTCTAACCTGTGTGTGTCTTTCTGTCTACCTGTGTGTCTTTCTGTCTACTTGTGTGTCCCGTTTTTATGTCTACCTGTGTGTGTCTTTCTGTCTACCTTTGTGTCTGTCTTTCTGTTTACCTGTGTGTGTGTCTTTCTCTCTACCTGTGTGTGTCTTTCTGTTTACCTGTGTGTCTGCCTTTCTGTCTACCTGTGTGTCTGTCTACCTGTGTCTGTCTTTCTGTCTGCTTGTCAGTCTCAGAGCCACTCATTAAGAGTAATTGGTCTTGAAGACGCTATATTAATAATGATGATAATAATCAGAGGTGCATTAAATGTTTTTAAAATGTTAATATAGACATTTTGCTTAATCCATCTATGATTTTTTTCAAAATTATATAATAAATATGCTACATAACATATAGACATATAAATTAACAAATATGAGATGTTTTTCTGGTCGGCTTGACAGAGTGAACAGAAACCAGTCGTGTCCAGGCTGGTAACAACAACGTTCGTTTGGCAATATAAACACAAATGCAGTATAATGTGATCCTTTATTGACTACGTTTCGCCCACACAGTGGGCTTTTTCAAGTCACAAACAGAACTACCTGGGGTGGAAGGAACGCGAGTATTTAGTCCGGCTGAGGTCAGGTGAAGAATGCTGCATCTGATGATGTACCGATGCAGCATTCTTCACCTGACCTCAGCCGGACTAAATACTCGCGTTCCTTCCACCCCAGGTAGTTCTGTTTGTGACTTGAAAAAGCCCACTGTGTGGGCGAAACGTAGTCAATAAAGGATCACATTATACTGCATTTGTGTTTATATTGCCATTGTGTCGGTATTTTATACCATTTATTTCCAACGTTCGTTTACATAACTTGCCAACCTTCTACCCTCTCATTCTCTCTCTCGTTTATTCATTTAATCTTGTTTACTTGCCTCTCACTCTTTTTATTTATTTATTTATTTATTAATTTGAACATGATACAGAGAAGTACAAAAAATACCATTTTTAAAGTGTAACATGCCAAAGCACCTTGTATACAGAGCATTATGGGCAGGCTTAAAAATTAACTTAAGATTAACTAAGCAATGATATATTCAGTGGTACAAAAATTATTGTTTAAAAAAGTTTACAAAATTTTGTACAAATGGAATTAGAAAGACAGGTCATATGGTCATTTACTGTGTTGCTGTGTAATCAGTAGAATGGAGTATTCTGTTAGGTAATGAAGTTAAATAGTAACAAAATTTGATTGGGTCACAGGTTGACATTTATGAGATACAATAATGAGATACAGTTTATGAGATATAATTATTCAGTATTTATTTAGTTGTGGGTGAGTAAGTGATTTTTGAGAAGAGATTTGAATTTATAAACAGACAGTGTTTCTTTTATATTCACAGGTAATGAAATTCTAGATTTTAGGGCCTTTTATGTGCACTGAGTTTTTGCATAGCGTTGCGATGGACACGAGGAACATCAAAGAGTGATCTGGTGTCTTGTGTTTTGGTCCATGTGTTCTGTTGAGGTTGGTAAGGAGATGTTGAGGGGGGGCTAATACAGAGTTAAGTGTTCTATGTATGTAGTAGGTGCAGTAATAAGTATGGATTTTTGTATGGTGAGTAGGTTTAGAGTTTTGAATATTGGTGGTGGTGCTGTCTGTAGTGGGAATTTGTTTTTTCTGACTGCAGCCCTTTATTGGGTGATTAGTGGTCTGAGAGGTTTATTGTTGTTGAGCCCCATGCACAAATTCCATAGGTGACATAGGGGTAAAATAAGTGAGTGATATAGGGCCAGGAGGGCTGACTGTGGAACATTGTACTGTATCTTCAATAGTATGCCTACGGTCTTGGAAATTTTTTTGAAATTTGTTGTGTATGTGTTTGACATTTGAGTCTGTTACAAGGTGGATTCCCAAGAATTTCCCTCTGTGAGTTTTGTGATAGGTGATCCATTTATCATTATGTTAAGAACACATCTGTAGCTCTGGTTACCAAAAATGAATGTAGTAGGTTTTGTCAATGTTTAGAGTAAGTTGTTGGTCCTCATCCAGGTTGATATTTTCTGTAATTCGGTATTTACAGTATTAGCTAGCATGGGCTGGGCTCAGGTGAGAGTAGATGTATGTAGTGTCATCTGCAAATAGTGTGGGGGGTTTGAGTAGTTTGATGCATTTGGTAGGTCATTTATGTATATGAGAAAGAGAAGAGGGCCAAGGACACTTCCTTGTGGGACACCAACTGTAATTGGCTGTGCGGAAGAGTTGCCCATTTGTGTACACATATTGGCTTCTGTTGCTGAGGTATGACTTTAGGTAGTTGAGGGAGTGCCCTCTTATACCATAGTTTTGACAATTTTATGTGGAGCAAGTCGTGGTCAACTGTATCGAAAGCTTTACGTAAGTCAATGAAGATCCCCAGTGAGACTTCTTTTTTCTCTATTCTGTATAAATATGTTCTAGCATGTGGGGTAACAGCATCATTAGTATTTTTATTAGGCCTAGAACCCAAAT